GGTCGGCTTTGCAGAGCAGAGCAATGGCTGAGTGAGAGCAAGGCATGCACAACACCTTGCCCCAGCCAGCCAGCCGTCTTTGCAGGAGCCCTGCCTGGGTGGTGGCTTCATGAAGCCCCTCCACATGTCCTTCAGGGACAGATAATGGGCTGGAAGGGTCCCGGGTGTCCTTGCACCCCCTAAGCTGTCACCGTGCTGCGTCCCCAGGCTCTATAACGGTCTTTTACATCCTACGGACGCAGATCAACGTCAGCGGCAGGCGCTTTCCTTTCCTCCCTGGGCACCAGGGCAGGGAGAGGAAACGTGCCCCAAGCAGCCCAAGGAGAAATATTGCCTTGGCTTGCTGGAAAAGGGGCCGGGGAGCAACTTCCCTCCCTCCCTGTGAATGCAGCTGCCCCCCGTGCTGCAGAAACTGCCACTGGCAGCACGTCGGATCCGGAGGTGCCCAGACCTCGATGGCTCAAGACGTCCCCACGAAGGTCCCGGTGCCCGTGGGCGGGGATGCTTCATCGGTGCCACCAGGTCGCTGCAGCTCCAGGCCCCGCAAGCGCAAAGTCCGTGCGGCGCTTCAGACGCAAACCACTCGCGGCAGCGGCAGCTGGAATGGGTTTGGGAGCTAAAAGCCTTGGCACGGCCCTTTTGATTTACATTCCTGTCTAATGACTAATTAATTCTAGAGGGGGACATGTATTTGAATAGTTATTGTGTGATAATGAAATGTCAAGTGAGCATTAAAACACACTTAGCGAGGGTTTAACAGCCCCCGGCATCTGACACACGCGTGCGTCCCGGTACCTACACATGCAACGTGCCATCCGCAGCGGGATGCACTCAATATGTCCTTAACAACCCCCTCGGTGCTTCATCAACGCACGTTAACGGCCCGATTGAATCTCAATTAGCTCCCGCCTGGAGACGCCGGCGTTGTGACACATGTGGCCGGAGCCGTCCCGCGTGCCGAGGCAGCGCTTTCGCGCGGCCGGGGAATTAATTGCAAGAGCTCCGGCAGCCTTGTAAATCGTGGCTCAAGCAGTCCTGCTAGGACAATAAGCCCTTGAATAATTGATGCACGGGCATTAATCTGCCGGCTTCCTGCGGAGTAGGGGTGGGAGGGAGCAGCTGAGCTGGGCCGCGCAGAGGGAGGCTGGAGCAACAAGCCGGGTATTTGTGCTCCCCGGTCCAAGGTAGGATGCTTGGGGGTGCTACCTGCTTGTCTTCTCGCTCCAAACTCTGGCATCACATGCCCTCGACCTGTACATCACCCAGAAAGGTGCAGAGCTGGGTTACTGTACAGCCCCAAGCACGCACAACTCGCCTCTGGCCACCCTGTGCCAGCAAAGGTCCCGGTGCAGAGCCCAGGCCCGCGCACCACTCATCCCAGACCCTCTCGGCTACCATCAGCACAGCCGGGGCGGTCGCAAGCCTTCTGCTCCAAGCTGCTATTCTCTGGGGGGGGTTCAGCCAGGACTCGTGTTTGTCGCCTGCTTCTCACCTCTGCCGCCGTTTCAAAATTTTTTGCAAAAATCGAGTTGGTCTAATAAAAGATATCACCTCCACCATGAGTCCTGATTGCTTCATCATCCAGAAAGCTTTTCTGTGGCTACAGGATGCTGCCCTCGGGGCTGGCGGATGCAGCCTTCCTTCTAGGAAAGAAACGGCAGGTGCCTGGGGCGGCTCCGAGCGCCACGCCAGCCCTGGGGACACAACTCGGAGACACGGGAGATGAAGGATGCACGCTCCAATCTCTGGGCTGGCAATGGTCTTGCACAGGGGCTTTCACAGGAGGGCACCAAATGAGCATGTTGCACCAGCAAAGGAAGCTGCAGACATTCAGGCTGGGGATGAAACCCAAAACGGAGGATTAGTCATGCAGAGATTTGGGGCGGGTGGGAGCATCTGGAGAAGCTCATATGCGAGTCTAAGATCTAATTAAATTTTCCCAGCCTCCGAGCTGCTAGCAGAGGGGCTGACGGGCTCCCGGAGAGGAGGAGGGAAATCCTCAAGGTGCCCGAGAGATCCCCGTGCCAGATGGGGTGGGAGAGCAAGACGAGCCTGCGTTGCCCAGGCCAAGCGGGTCCATCCGCGGGTAACGGATGAGCAGCGCGATTCGGGGTGGCAGCAGGCCTGGAACAGGACACTCTCCGGTGATGAATTACCAGCCCCGGCTCATCTGCATGGTAAATTTTTTGTGCGAGAGAAATAAACATCCTCAACCCGCGGAGAGGCTCCTGGCCGCAGAGGCTTTCATTAAGGCATCCGAGCGCCTGACCTGCATGCTGCAATGCCGGGGATGAGGGTGCCGGAGAGATGAGCGGTGGGAAGTTGCACGAGCTGGGAGTCCTGGGAGCTGGTGCCCTTTCAGAGAGGCAAAGCCATGTCTGAGCCGGATGGTGCAGGAGGAAGACGGAGGGAGGCAGGTTGTTGCAGCTGCAGCCTGTGCGCACGGCCCTGCACGCTTCATGGGAGTCTCTGCTCCAGGGCGCAGGCACTCATGCACGCTTCCCCCGCTTCTCCAGTTCTTCCCATTGCAAGCACCAGCACCTGAGGCCCTGCCGGCATCCTCGCTACCTGCAAAGGAAGACACCGAGGCCTGGAGGCCTGCCCTGACTTGACCCAGCAAAGCTGCTGGAGGGCGTGGGGCTGGGTCCGCTGTTCTGCGCAGGGATCCCAAAGCCGGTCTCCTTGCACCGACAGATCTCCACATTGCACTTTGCAGACAAGAGCCTGCAACCTGCCTTGGAGCCCCGCTCTCCTCTCCCACGAGCCCCCTGGGAGCATGGGGCAGGCGGTGCTGACCCATGCCAGCCCATCGGTGCCCACGGGAGCGAGGATCAGGTGCATATCTCCATGCGACCAGCCTGTCCATAGACCTCCGCCGAAACGCACGGCTCCGCTGCCCAATCTCCACTCCTGTGCCCAGCCTCGGAGGCTGTCACTTGCCTCTCGCCAGCCCTTGGAGCCGGCCCTCCCTTCTCCAAGGGTTAGCCCGTCACTAAACTCGTTAACTTTTAATTACCACCTTCCCACTGCCGTAGCCGCCTGGCTCTGTGCCACCTACATCTTTATTAAAATTCAATTTGTGCCCATCATAACTAATTCCGGCACTCCAGCTTCCTCGTCAGCAGCCGTCGGGCTCCAGATATGCCGTCCGAGCCCTCTCCAAGGGGACCCGGGGACGGGCAGCTCCGGCCGGGATGGATCCAGGTGATGCTGCAGGCTGGGCTGGAGACGGCAGGCGGGTGATGCTCTGCAGAGCAGCTGTGGGCTGCGTTAGCTGCACGTCAGCCCTCGGTTTGCTTGGGTCTCCGCTCCCCACAGGTTTCTTTTCTCTCTTCCCTCCACCCTCCCCGGCCAGGAGCCAGCTCTGGGCATCACAGGCAGGTAGACGCGACAGTGCAGTGCCCTGCAGCTACAGCACTTCCAAAACGGGGTCACTGTCCTTGTTTTGCAGATGGGGAAACTGAGGCACACAATCGAAAGGTGCTTGACCAAGGCTGGGCAGCAAGTCAGTGGCAGAGCTGGAAAAAGGACTCAGGCGTCTAGGTCCTAAGCCTGATTCCCTCACCACCTGATGCCCTGGCCTCAATCCAGACTTAGCACCAGGACATCCCTGCTCCCAGAGAGGGGAACCAGACCCACGCTCTCCTGGGCTAACCAGTGGGCATCACTGCCTGCAGCAAGCCTGCTCCATGCACTTCAGAGGCTGCAGCACAACAGCCGTGGATGCTCCAGGCTCCCCCCTTCCCCCTCGTACTCGCAGCAGCAGGTAGCACGTTGCTTCGGAGGTGGCTCCACTCCCCGGGCTCTGCACTTTTGCACGCCCCCGCCCCCTTCTTGCCGGCGTTCCCACAATCCAATTTAATGGTTGACATTTTGCATTCTTCCCACGCCGACACTGAGCGTCTCTGCCGGCCTGGGGGAGCCGGGGCTGTGCGGGGCCCTCCAGCCCTGCGCGGGGATCAGACGCAGGCAGGAACTGCACAAATCCCAGCATGTAACGAGGTCTGTGCCCCTGTCTGGGAAATGGGCTGGACCCCCAGCAGGTCACATCCAGCCCTGGGAGGAGGCAGCGGCAAACTCAGCCCTTGCACCAAGGCTGGCACTGCTGGTGGGTTGCAGGGCTCAGGAAGGGGTCCGTCCCCGGAGCTCCCCATCGTTCAATGGGGAGCTCTCAACTGGTTGTTTTCGGCTCCTGGTCCCCGGCACCGTGGCTGGCAGGGCCCAGGTCGTACCCCAGGATCGGGTACACTCATGCCCCATCTCACTGTCTCCCTGGGTGCTGACCCCATGCAACCAGCTGTGCCAAGGGCTCATCCAGGGTGCAACCTGGGGAGGGGCAGTGGCATCCCAAGATGCGGGGTGGGATCTTGCCCTGCAAGCTCAGCTGAAGGAACAGACCCCCCAGCAGAGCCCGGGCACGGACCGGGGAAGCCAGCAGCTCCAGGGTCCGACCCCACGGCCCCTGCACCCCACGGTCACGCAAAGTCAGGGAGCCCCCGAGCCACCCTCCCGGGTGCAAACGGCCCCGGCGTCACCATCCGGGAGGGCACATCCCGCTCGCTGCCTGGTTGACGAGGCGTTGCCACAGCAACGAGAAGCCCTCGGAGGTGAGGGCTGCTTTCACCGGAGCGGCTCGCGTGGGGCTGAATGACTGATGAGGGGCCGACGCGCTCCATCCGGGGCCGGGGCCGGGTCCTGGGTGCCGGCGTCACGAGGGACTGGAGACCCTTGGGCACATGCCCGTGCCCCGCTCATCCCCCTGCTCCAGCGCCGAGATCCCAGCGCCCCGTCTCTGCCTCGGGGGCAGACGGGACTGGGGCCAGGCCCATGCCGGGGCTGGCGCCGTTCGCTGCCAGGGTCTGGAGCCGGGCTCACCCACGGCAGCTGGCAGCACGGAGCGGGGAGAGCTGGAGCCTGGGGTCTCCCCGGAGCCTCTTCGAGGGGCGCCGGCCGCCGGCTCTCCGCAGGAAAGGGGCAGATGGGCGCGTGCCCGGGCTCACCTGTACTCCAGCGAGAACTTGGTCAGCTCCCTGCCGTTGTGCAGCCACTTGAACTCCAGGGGCCAGCTGCCCTCGGCCATGCAGGTCAGCACCAGGCGGTTGCCCTCCAGGTGCACCTGGCTCCGCGCCGGCTCCGTCTTGAAGTAGGGCGACACGTCATCTGCAAGGGAAGCACCGGGGCACGGGTGAGAGGGGGCTAGCGACGCGCAGAGCCCCTTTCTTGACCTGCGTCTTGCATCCGCACCTCCCCTGTCATTGCCTTTCACCCCAATACCCGCAGCACTTGCACCTCCCTCCCACCCAGACGCCCCTTCCCCTCTCCCTGGCTGCTGCCGAGAGTCCCTGGGCCTGCGTGAAGGGAAGGGTGAGATGGGGAAAGCATCCTATTTTTAGCTGCTTTGCAGCAACCTCTGGGGCTGCCACGCTCCCCTGCTACCAGCCGAGCACTTCCAGGCCGCGCCATTTGGACACCGCAGCCCTCGGCCACGCGCCCGGCTAGACATCAACGCCGGCGTTACGTGGTTTCTGCCGAGACCCCGCCAGCAGGCACCAGCTCCTGTCCAGGGATGGGTGGGAGACCCATGGGCTGGACCCCGCAGCGTTGCACGCAGCAGAGACTTCAGCAGGACTTGCAAGCCACAGTCCTTCACCGTGACTTCTGGGATCCTATTTGATTCGGATCCTGCCCTCACGCCAGCTTGCACCAGCCTGGTCGCCCACAGCGCCCCGCAGGAGCTGGCCCGTCCCCCAGAGATCACCCAGCTCCCAGCCGCCCCCTCCTCTCAAGCCGTTTTGCAAGCACTTAGTGCACCGAGGGCTTATCTCAGCAGCTTTCTTCCCTTTGTTCCCCGCTGTCTTTGTAGCATTTCAGATGGCACCGGGCTCTTAACCGGGGGAGCGGAGAGGGGGCCGGCGGGCAGCGAGCCAGGACGAAACAGCGGAGCTCTTTGCTAAGTAAAAGTCTCGATCGAAGCAGGCGGGTCCATTTGCCACTCGACAAATGGGAACCCTTTCGCTTCAAAGGCGCGAGGCTGTTCCCCAGCAGCTTTCAAGTGGGCTTTGAATCAGGCCTGGATTTGCTTCTTTTTTTTTTTTATTATTATTATTCTGCATCAGATTCCTGCCTTTGCTCTCGCTCGGCTTTAAAACATCGGCGCTCCCGGCCAGAGCGATAAAGAGCGCCTTGGCGCGGGACCCATTCGCATACGCACACAAGAGCCACTTCACCCGGCGCGGTGCGGCGCAGCGCGGGGAGGGGAGCGAAACCCACGCCGTGCGCTAAAAGGCTCTCAGCGGCTCCGCGCCCCCACTCTGGGTAATTTGCTCGGAGGTAGGCATTTCTATTCATCGCCTCGCCGGGCCCCTGGGAGCTGAACAGACCCAGGATTGGCAGCTTTAATACAGCCCAGGGCTGGGGGTGCGCGGCCTCGCCCGGGGAAAACCCCCAAGGCGTTTATGGGGGTGGAGGACGATGCTCCATCCAGGACGCTAGCACCCATCTCAGCCCCCGACCCGGTTCAGAGAAAAGCCGCGGCTCTACCGGCGTCACGGCCCGCGCCGGAGCGGCAATCGGTTCTGCCGGCAGATCCAAGCCAGGCCAAGCGCCGGCGCCCGGGATGAGCCGGAAAGTTTAAGTCCACACTAACCAGTGCCTCAGTTTCCTCCTTGCTCTGAAACAGAGCTGGTGCTTTACCCCGTGGGGCAGGGCTGAGGCCTCCCTCCCCTCCAAAAGAAGCTGCAGCTGACGGCGGGCAGGAGCGACCCTAAAGCACGCGGCACCGGCTCGTCGGACGTGGCGGGGGTCTCCCCGGCTCTGCCGCCAAGTCATCGGTGTTGTCTCCACCGGCCTGCCCTGGACAACCTTTGCTGGCCTCGCTCCCCGCAGCCCTGCTCCACTCCCAGAGGCCCGGTGCTGCAAAATCCTCATTTTCTTCCCTCCCTTGCATTTTTGCAAAAGGGGGGGAAAAAGAGGAGATTAAAAAGTGAAAGAGAGACGGAGAAAATGCCTCTGTCCCTGCCCTTCGCCCGCCCCAGCCAAGCAGGGAGAGGAGGCTACAGTGTCCTCTTGTCTGCATTGCTGCCCTGTCCCTGAGATAAGGCCCTGTGCAAGGTGCTGGGAGCTGGCAGCACTACCCCCCAGGCTTCATCAGGGAGGGGACCAGTCAGGCTGGGGAGGACAAGGGCAGGTCCCCGGGGTTATGGGGAGTCCCTGGAGCTTCCCCCATCCAGGATCCCCCCAGCCTGGAGCCTTCCCTGCCTGGCTCGCTTGGCGCAGGCTTTGCGTCGGTGCAAGCAGCGGCAGCAGGTGTGAACAGCCTGGTGCAGGACCTGGTGCAGGGACCCCCGGGGTCTGCTGTGGCATCACCCCTCCCCTCCCCTCCCGGCTGCCACCGTTTCATCCACTCTTCCCTGCCAAGGGGTGAAAAGGCGAGGGAAATTGTGCCATGGGGCAGGGGGGCCCAGGCAGGGCAGCAGCAGGGAGCATATTGGGGAGGTCATTGCTGGGGGGGGTCCTGCTTCCCTTTAGTATTTGATCTGGGGAGACTTGTGCTGTGGAAGAGGAAGGGCTTGGGAAGGGCCAGGAGGCTTATGTGTGTGCATACGTTTGTGTGCATGCATGTGTGCACACGCGCGTGCGCCAGCTGGCAGAGGGCTGAGAGGAGCTGTGCAAGTGCATGGCGGTGAACTAAATTCATGCGAGCCCGAGACCTTCCTGGCAGGGGCCAGGCTAGACCCGGCAGCCTCCCATCTAAGCGCTCAGCCCCTGCTCCCAGGGCATCCCGGTCAGCCAGCAGTACAGAGGCTAGGACACTTGGTGAGGATTCTGCTCGGGCAGGGAAGTGCTCTTGCACTTGCTCACACTTGCAGTGACAGGGCGTAGGTGACAGGTGTCACCCCCGCGACCACCCCATCCCTGCTCTCAACACCAGGCTGCACCTTAACTCCCCTCCCCAGCACTGTGGAGCCCCATCCTGGCACGTCCGGAGCACCCCCCTCCAAACAGTGGCAGTGGCACCAAAACCCGCTACAGAGCGGAGAGCGCTGTATGCAGCCGGGATGGGACTGAGCAAAACCGAGCGCCTTCACCCAACCCCCTCAACCTACTGTGGGGCACTGGGGAGAGGTCTGGAGACTCATCTCGGCTGTGCTCAGAGGCCAAGGGAGACCTGGGACGTGTGCAGATCCCTCGTGCAGTGCAGTGCAGCCAGCTCTGGGGAGTGGCACAGGAGCCGCATGGATATGCCGCACAGGGGTGCTTGCTCAGCACCAAAATGCAGCCGCTTCTGGGGTGCGACACAGCAGCTCGGCAGATACCTCTCCACATAACTCATGCAGCGCTTCTGAGCCTCCTGGGAGATGCCCAAGGCTGGCGGGCAGGGGTCCCCCTTGCCTTGCCAGTGCTGTGCGTGTTGTATTGGGCTATTGGCCCTCTCCACCCCAGAGCTGGCTGCATTTTGATCGCTGCTGGCTGCACGCAAACCCTGGAGGGATCGTTTCCTCCCTGGGACGTTACAGCTCATTTGCATGACAAGGGCATCGCCATGCTGGAGGATGTCACCACCTGGAGCTGTCATCACCCTGCCCATTGCTATGGAAATGAGCAGGGGTGCCCAGGTAGGGGGTAGCAGCGGGGTTGGATGCAGCAGGTGCAGACGGGCTCCGGAGACAGGAGGGAGCTAACCCGCTGCGGCAGAGCCTGCGGCGGACCCCCTTCCATGGGGTGGGAGGAAGCTCAGCATAGGGGGTCCAGATCCTGAGCATGGCGGAGCACCCCCTGATTTGAAAGGGCTGGGTCAGAAACGTGCTCTGACCCGCATCAGGCACCAGCTCATGGCTCAGGACTCCTGGGTTCCTTTCCCAGCTCTGCCGCTGACTCCTTGCATGGCCTCGAGCACATCCCTTCACCCCCATGCCCCTACTCTCCAACACAACGAGGCTGGAACCAGCCCCTCCAGTGTCCGTCACCACCGGGACCCAGGGAGCACAAACATCCTAGGTGGCGGGTAGCAAGCGCAGCGGCAAGGTGCTGGGCAGTGAAACGCAGGCCACCACCAAGAGGAGGAGGGAGATAAATATGGGCCAGCTTGGGAGAGAGAGAAATCCCCCAGGATCCTTTCTGGGATTGGTGCACGGTGCATTGATCTCTCAAGCTGGGGTGGAGGCAAGCTCCGGCCCCTGAGATTTCCACGTGGTTCTGGGAACAGCTTTAATCCGCCGACCTCCAATCGATCCAGGCTAGGCTGGATCTGCCCGGGGAGAGGAGGGCAATGGTCTTGACTTGAAGGAAGCGGTTATGGGGAGGCTTGCTTTGCAAGGGCATGGGGCACATTTAGATTGGCACCGGGAGGCCTTGGCAGCATGAGATGCCCCCGTCTCCTCTCCCCCCACACGCTGATGGGCTGGGCAGGGCCCAGGATAAGAGCCCCAGTGGCTGGGAGGGACCGGGAGAGCTCATGCGGGTTACACACTGGCGTTGCACACCCATGGCTATGCACCTGGGCAGCATCTGCAGGTCGTCTCTGCTCACAGAGAGCCCAGGGCTGCGCGGGTGGTCCACAGAGACTGCTAAGAGCCCTGGAAAGCCACGCACACACACATGCACACATCCGTGCGCACACTCATGCACGTGTCCATGCACACGACCATGCACATGCCTGCAGGTGGACGCCTCAGGTAGCACCATCCCCCAGCAGGACGGACAGGCGCAGAGTCAGCACAGAGCTGGACATGGAGGCAGAACATGCCCAGGAGACCACGGTCACTTCTTGCACGCGCGCAGGGAGGCTCTGCACGCACGCATGCATGGGGGGCCGCGGGAACCCAGGGCGTCCCCCCACCACGCCGCGGTAGGTAGGAGCTGGCAGCAATGGCACTTTCCATGGATGCCAGTCGCAGCCCCACAAGTGAAGGGTCATTATTGCTAATTTCTCCTCTCCCCCATCTGTTGTGATTGTTTACACTCCACTTGCTAATTACAGACTAATTAGCCGGTGCAGAAATTCATCACTTTCCAAACACAGGCAGCAGTAAGGGCCTGCCTCTGACATCTGCACGGTGGCTGGCAGCGCCTGGGGGTCTGGGATCGGGTCGGGGGTCCCCTGAGCGCACGCACCCCCTGGCTGGACTTTGACCCTCAGCTCCAGCCGTGCGGGGCCAGTGGTCCAGGCCTGC